CCACTAATGACCTGTAATTAATTTTTAAAATTTTCTAATTTTTAATGTTATTGATTATTAAACTTTAATTTACCATAACGAGGAAAATGGTAAGAGATTCTTACCTCACATTGATATCCAAAATACTGTACTTTTTACAGTGTCTCCTAGCAGTTCCCGAGTTTCTTGAATTTTTTAACTGAAAATTAAAAAATACCCGTCGCATATATAAAAATATCACAAACGGCCAAAATAACCATTTAAAATTTTTTCGGCCAATTTAGGATTCTCGCACCGGTCGCCGCCGTCCATGGCAACGATTCCTCTCGACCTAGTCATTTTTTGCCAGTTCAGTCCGATTTTTGCTAGTTTTGCATGGAAACCTGCAAAAAACCAAGTTAAGGGGTCTCTGTTGGTCGGAAAAGGCAAAAATCGAAACCCTACAGGCGGAAGGGTCTCCGAGTGCAGCGGTTCTGCCGTTCCTTTTTCACGACCGGGGTTCTCCTTCAGCTAACCTGCACCATGAAAGGACGAGGAACATAATGGCCAAAAAGTCGAGGGAAACGAAAAATGAGAAGGGGCTCATCAGAGGAGGTTTTGGATTTCAGCCACGGTAGCTCGGCCGAGCTTCGCTAGTATTTTTCGGCTCATCCGTCGACTTTTTGGCTTCGATATGGGTGTGGGTAGGTTTAGAATCAAATTTTGAACGAATAAGGGAAAACAAATACCTGTTTGGCATCGATGGTGGCTCTGGTGCGGCGATGACGACTGTCACTTTTTTTTCGGCTGCCCTTCTTCTTCTTCTCCGGCGAGGAACTGGTGCGGTTAGGGTTAGGATTTCTTGGAACACAAGGTCTAAATACCCTCCCCAAGTTGATCTGGACTGTCCGTGCAAGGACACGCGACCCTCTCCTATCCGTTGGATCCCTCTTATTCAGGGACTGAATCTGAACTACACAATCGGATTGAATATGACCATTCGATCGTGCCTAAAGAGAAACACATCTGGGCCGTCTGTGTGCGCAGGATGCGATCTGGGCTGTCAGATTCGCTTACACGCGGATCGCCTGCGTGGCCTTCCATGTGGAATCGGTGTCAGCGTGTTTGTCACGTGGCATTTTCTGAGTCGCTGTTGCCGTTGTCGTTGACGTGGCCGTCCTACATGGTCGTATTTTTTTTTTTTTTGCGATTTTATCCTATGTTTTAAAATTTTCTTTCAAAAACACCCATTTTATTCATGGTTTCATCTTTTTTTTTCTAGAATTGTTTTCAATCTCACAAAAATTTCACAAAAATAGAATAAAATAAAAATTAAATTATTTTAATATATTTATTTTATTAGTGTTGAACTTATTCCGAGCCTAATTTTCGGTTTCGGGTGTTACAATATGCATATATTGAATAAAAGTTTACAACTTTAACATGTGTTTTACAAAAATTAAAGAAAAAATAATTTAATATCGCGTGATTTAGTTTCTCTTTCTAAATTCATTATTTTTAAATTTTTATACTAATATAGCATTAACAATTTAATAATCACTTTATATAATTTTGTTAACTTTTTAGAGGACATTTATTCATATATATATATATATATATTTATAAAAATTATACATGGAATTCTAAAATTAAATAGATCAAAATTTAAAAAATAAAATGTTATAAAAATAGCAAAAAATTAGTAATCTCATATAAAATGACAAAAGATGATAATAAAATTATTTATACCGTGATACTATAGAAATAAATTAGATAACAAATACTTATATCATTTTATAGAAAGTTTTAATAATTAAATAAATAAAATATAAATAGTAGTACAAAATTTTCTCATAAACTTTTCTCTAACCTCTCAAAAAAGTCTCAAGGAATCATATAAGAGTGAGAAAGAGAGAGAATATGATAAGAAATAAGAGAGAGAGAGAGATTGACATTAATAGTTATAGTAATGTATGCAAGGAGATGTTAATCTATTAGTAGGAAGCAAAAACAAATCAAATTGTAGAAAGTTTTATAAATCATGTTGTCAGGTTGTAAGAAGTTCTTTATTTTTATTGATAAATGCATAAACTAATAACATTAAAAAAGTTCACGAGTTATTTCATAAACTATGTAAGAGTATAAACCAAGATACATATTTTTAAGAAAATTAAACCTAAAACATTGATTTTTTTTTTGTTTGTAAAATCCAAGAAAATCAACAAAAATAAAGAATATATCAAATATACTAATGGCTAAACATTGGGTGAAAAAAACTATGAGTAAAATTAACATATGTGCATAGTTCTAATATGTACATGTCTACTCAACATTTTATTAACAAATATTATGAGTAGAAAGAATACAATTTCAAAGGCCAACTACGAAGATAGTAAGATTAAAGACTACTAATCAATAAAAAAAGCTTCTTAAAGTAGATTTTGACTATATAAAGGTTCATTAAACTTTAGAATTAGATTTATCTCTAGTTATTTTATCATTTCAAAGGGAAAAAAAAAATAAAGTTAGATGATAACTAACATATATGTGAATAGGATAATATTTGATTATAAATGAATGTTTTATGATGGATAAGCAACTACAAAGTTTTAGGTCAAATATTAAAATTTCCAAAATGATTAAACTTTATAATTTAAAAAAAAAAAAAAAAAAAACATGGCACTGATTGATGAGTAATAAGTAAGCATGAGTGTGCTGATGAAACCAACAATTTTAGATTGAGAAAAAGAAAAAAAAAAAAATAAAATACAAATCTTGAAAAAGAAAATAAAATAAAAGTGGCAATAGCAACAAAATAAAAAGTGCAGCCAGCAAACCCTCCCCCTCTCCCTTGCTGCCTTCTTCCCCTTCTTCCTTTTCCATCTTCAAGACTGACATGGATATTTGATCCCTCTCTCTCTTTCTTCACATTGAATGCACTCTGTGTCCTTTTACTCTCATTCACCTCATATCTCTTCCTCGTATGCACCGCCATTTTTGTTTACTCTCTCCTGTCTCTTTATGCCTTATCATCTTTTTATCTAATTTTCATCATCCTCACTTCTCCTAAGCTTCTGCTACAGGACAATCAAACGCAAGCTTAAAAACTTAAACCCATTACCTTGGTTTTAGCACCCTTCATTTCATGGCAACCACTACTACAACCACAACACAACTCAAAATCCAAAACCACCTCTCCAAACCCAAACGCCGCAAGTGCAAAGAAACAACCATCTCCTCCTCTGCTACTCCTAACAATAACAATCATAACACAACCGACTGTGTGAACCGGAAACTTGACCCGCCCACCATTGTTTCTCCCCAAGATTCCTGGTGCTGTCCGGCTTCCAAGCCTCTCACACCTGCAGCACCGCCCCCTCCTTCACCCCCACCGCCTCGACGTTCTCCCACAATCACTATCCACCAACCCCAGCCTGACTCCTTACCATCTTCGCCGTCTGATTCTCCATCGACCTTCAAGATCCGTTTCTCTCCTGGAAGTCTTTCGCCAGTAATGGATTTCACAGTGTCGACGACAAATGGTCAGTCTTCTAATGATTCCTTCCCTTCCAGCTTCACTAAGTTCAACTCTGCGCTCTCCGCGGGACTCTTGAATCCAATGTCTCCGCCACCCCCGCCCGACAAGACTCGATCCAGTCCAACCCTTTTCGAGATGATGGCCAGCGAACCCGACATCAACCTAAGGACACAGACCCAGATCTCACAGTCCAACAATACCGCTGTTACAACCCAAAAAACGCCGACCCAGGTTGTCCTTTCGGCTCAGGATAAGCAAGCACTGACCATGCAGCGAATATCGGACCTTTTGGGGATTCGAAGCCCCGGGAACCAGTTTAACGACCCGATATCCAGCGATATCAAGCTTACCCTGAGCTCGAAGGATGGGATTAGTGTTTCCATGAATGTGCATAAGCACATCCTTGTGGCTCACAGTAGGTTTTTCGCTGTCAAGCTATCGGATCGGTGGGCAAAGCAGGAGAGGCCATCCTCTCAGCCGTACATTGTGGAGATTGCGGATTGTGATGACGTGGAGGTTTATATCGAGACCTTGAGGTTGATGTATTGTAATGATCTGAGGAAGAAGCTTATGAGGGAAGATGTGCCCAGAGTTCTTGGGATTTTGAAGGTAATCTATCATTTTAGCGGTTTTTTCGTTATTATTATTTTCCTCATTTGTGGTTAGGAATTTATGCCCTTTTGTGTTTATACAGACGTCGAAACCGTATAAAAAACTTGTAGCGGATAGAAATTAGAAGTTTTGAATTTCTGAGTTATGATTGCTTGAGACAATAGGAAACGTGAATCCCATTTTATGGCTGAGCGGAGCTTTATGCTTTGCCTAGCCGACTAAAATGTTGAATATCTTTTTTGCTTGATCTTTTGACCAAACCCAGAAGTAGAATCCTACCAAGTTGTGATATGTACTCTTGTATTACTTTCCATCTAAAACATTTTTCTTATTAAGATACATTGTCTGCAAGGAGAAAAGGAGTGGTTTTAATTGGAGGCTGAACTGTTTGGTCTCGTGGTGTTTTTAGGTTTCAGCAGCTATTGGTTTTGATGCTGGGGTTTTATCCTGTTTGGAGTACTTAGAAGCTGCGCCATGGGCTGAGGATGAAGAGGAGAAAGTTGCTTTGTTGCTATCGGAGCTACGGCTTGAAAATGTTGGGGCTGGGGAAGTTTTAAAGAGGGTTTCTGTTGAAGTTACTAATGGAACTGAAGATGGTAATGACAATGAAGAAGTGCTTCTCAAGCTTTTACATGTAGTTCTTGAAGGCAAAGATGAAAAGGCAAGGCGTGAGATGAAAGGATTAGTATCAAAAATGCTTCGTGAGAATTCATGTCAAAACGATCTTCGTAAGGAGTCATTGTACTCGGCTTGTGATGCGTGTTTGCAATTGCTTCGTTGCCATTTTCTCCAGGCAGCAGCTTCTGACTTGAAGGACGTGGCTCAGATTGCAAGACAAGCAGATAATTTGCAGTGGATTTTGGATATTTTGATCGATAGACAAATTGCAGAGGATTTTCTGAAAATTTGGGCTTCTCAGTCTGAGTTATCAGAAGCACATTCAAAAGTTCCAGCTGTTCATAGGTACGAGGTTAGCAGAGTTACTGCCAGGCTATTTGTTGGAATTGGGAAAGGCCAATTGCTGGCTTCGAAGGATTTGAGGTGCTTGCTTCTACAGACATGGTTGGTACCATTTTATGATGATTTTGGGTGGATGAGGAGGGCATCAAAAGGCCTTGATCGACATTTAATTGAGGATGGTCTTAGTAATACAATTCTCACTCTGCCTCTAGCTTGGCAACAGGAAATTTTGCTTTCTTGGTTTAATAGATTCTTGAACTCTGGTGAAGATTGTCCCAATATACAGAGAGGCTTTGAAGTTTGGTGGAGAAGGGCCTTCTGGAAACGAAGTGGTGAACAGGAGCGGCCAAGACAGTTAAGAATTACAACTGCAACAATTCAGAATCCTTAGATCTTTCCTCTGACACTGCCAAAAATCATGCTCCCTTATGGGTCTGTTACATTTTCTTCTTTACGACAGTTCTAAGCTAATGGTTCTTTCCTTTGTTTTCCATTTTCTTCCATTCTAAACCAGTGCTGGCAATTGTTTATGGAGAAGCTTGAGTTTGACATGCTGGATTATGTGTTCTGTTCAAACTGGATGTAACTAGGTTTAGCTTGGAAGAAGACTGCAATATTTGGGTGCGAGTTACTCAATAAAAACTTGAAAAAACAATAGAAATGGCTTCTTCTTAGTTCACGTTGCTGCTTTTCTTTTGGCTCTAATAACATACTGCAATGCTTGACCTAAATTTTCTCTGTTAAGGATATTGCAATTTTCACCTTCAGTGAACTTTTATTTGCGGAGCACCAGGAATTAGTTTGAATTTCCTTTAACAGGATTGGACAATAGCAGTCTACCTCTCTTCGGATTGAAGAGTCATTTTCTTGAATTTCTCAGGATTTTTCGGAGTGGTTTTCTTTGAAATTGTCAGGATATTTCTGATTGTTCTCTTCTATTAATATTATCTACGTTATCTGAATTGTTCTAAAAACTTTTAGCTATTTTAGAATTCTTTTAATTAGGTGAAATCCAGTTCATCGAATTATCTTCTGGTATTTTATTACAATTTTGAGAAACATATGCTCTGAACAATAAACATGGCTCAGTCCTAGGCAGGAAGTCTCCGTAATTGTTCAAGTTATTTGTTATAGACATTTGGAAAACTTTGGGCTACCAGATCTTGTATGGCTGCATGTTAAGAAAGCTGGTAGATTCACAGTAGTTGGTTGAATAATTGAAGGTCTGAGTGTCACTTCTACGTTTTTGCAGAGTGTCAGAGCTAAAGATTGCTCTTTGGTGGTTGGTGGTAAATTTTTGGGAGGATCCTGGAATTGGGATACATAACTTTTGAAATGAGCTTTTGGTTTGAGGCATATATAACACATTAAAGATTCAACTTTGGCTGATCCTGGTTCTAGCTGGGTTTTGCTCTACCTCGCTGGACATTGCAGGTGAGTTAATGGATTTCTAGTCTGATTGCTGATATGAATACCTATACAACTAATGTTGAAGATAAGATGGATGATAACTACTTTGAGGAGCTGATAAATATTTATCTCGGTGGTATTTGTAACCCGGTTGGAATTCTTTGTGTCTCTTATTCTGTGTGTTTGTTAGCTAGCTGATAGAGCTAGGGAATGACTTGTGTGGGAATAATATTCTAGGGATAACCTCTTCAATCCAATGCAGTATGATTTCCTTTACACCTTAGGAATAACATACATGGTGATCTAGACCGTGAATGTATATACATCAATATTCTTTCCTTCTTAGTTGATGATTTTTGTTATGAAGCTTGAATATTCTCATCAAAACATCTGGCTAAAACATACTGGAGACCCTTTATTCTTTCCTCGGATTTGTTCAAAAACTTGGAATCTGGTAGATTGTTAGTCTTATCAAGGCGGATTGAATTTCTGTGAGATTTGTATATTAGTCTATTTGGTTTTATTCTTTCCTCTGATTTGTTTAAAAATTAACGTGGTAGTTTCAACCGATGAGGCTGCATTAATTTGTGAGATTTATATCTTCCTTATGTAGGTGTATTTGTTCATATATAGTATACAGACCAAGAGTTTCCACTGCATGGAAATTTTACAACATCACCTAGGCTTCATGCTGCGCTAGGGAAGGGGTAGGTGGCACTTTTTGGGAGTGCCATGTGTCCATAATAATCTATTATACCAGGTGTGTTGACCGTTTGTATACAACGTTAGGGAGTATTTATATGTTCATATAATAATCTATTATACCAGGTGTATTGACTCTTTATACAATGTTAGGGAGTTTTTACATGAGTATTATGTAATGTTATTTAATTATTATATCGTATTATTTAGTTATTTCCCAAATAATTAAAAAATGTGAAAAAAATTATTATGTAATACATATTAAAGATCAATATATACAGACACATTCCATAAGCTAATAAATTCAGTATATAATAAAAATAATTACATTTGTGCAAATTTTATAATGAACAGAAGATAAAAAATATTATAGCAAATTAAGTTTAGCAAGACATTAAATACTAAAAGCTAATTATAGAGGTAATAATAATCAGCATTTTCTTCTTTCCCTCTTATCACTTTTTCGTCTTCCTAATTCTAACCTTGCAAATCCTTCCTCTCTGCTATGTCTTTTCCTCTCACTCTCACCCTTTTCCTCATTAAACCTGCAACTAAAAGAGAGAAAATGTTTGTTGCACCGCCATAAGAGAATGAAGAGGGAAAGAGGAAGAGGAGAAGAAGCCGAGTGGTTTTGTGGCGACACATTTGTGAGGGCAAAACAAAATCAACCTTGAGTCCGGAGTGGCAGCACCATCCCGGAGTCTGAACAAAATAGGAGCTACTCTGTTTATGTGAGTGAGGCAGAGGAGCTACTCAGTTCACATTGTTAGAAACTGGGACCAAACCGGTTAGGGAACATGGAGAACGGCACTGGCAAGACTGAGGGCCTTAGCAAAAAGGTTGTTTCAAAACCATGGTAAATGACGTTTGGAATAAACCGGTGGAGAACAGCACTGCAAGTTACAGACTTTCCAAGAAGATTTTCAGACTTAAACAGGAGATTAAAAAATGGACAAAAGATGTGGGAATGAAGGAAGAAAACAGAATTAATGAATTAATGTAGGAGATGGATGTGCTTGACAGAATGGAGAGTAATTCTCGGCTGACGGCAGAAATCAACGAGAAAAGAAACAATTTGAGATTGGAACTTGCTAGCAGGCTACACAAAAATAGAGTAGCTCAGAAAATTTAACTGAATGTATGATTCAATTAGAGATTTAATTGTTAGACATCACTCACAAAAACAGAGTAGCTCAGAAAATATCTTTGTAATTTCACATATGGAGACGACATTCAGTTATTTATTTTCTGATTTTATGATTCAAGTAAATCTTTAAATGTAATGCTTAAAATTTCTCAGGTATGATGTCTAAGAAGATGATACATAAATTTTTATCTCCAAATTCCTAACTGGACAACCTTTACTCTCTTTATCCTACATTAGTTTGGTATCAGAATTAAAAGAATTATATGCCTAAAAGTTCAAAACCTTAAGCCTAAACAACCTCAAACCATCTGAAGAAAAAGAAAACCAAAATCATAAAATTCTATAAATTCCAAACGGCCACCAGCTTTATTCACCAGCCATCCAGCCATTGCCCGTAGGTGATCGACACAGTCCCTATCACTACCTTCAGAAAGCCTTATTGGTGGACCCTTGAAGCCTTACCGTGAAACTCGACCAGAAATCGCGTCAATAATTGGCGTAAGCTCTCCTAGCCACTGGCTCTCGTGATCCCCTGCTTCTTCACAATTATCTGTCACACCGACCTTTGATTTGCAATCACCACCCCCAATTTGCTAAATTGCCATCATCAGGTGACTGAAAGCCAGTTCATGAACCACACATACGCTCAACCGCTAGTGCAACTTGTTCAATCCTCTACTGACTTCTTTGAAATTCGAGTTTGATGAGATTAAATTCTCCGATTGGTTCTAGCTCAAATAGATTAATAAGTTGCTAGTTAAAGAGAAATTTCAGGTTCAATAATAATATAAAAAACTAAATAAACCATAACACTAGTTACCAAGTTGCCCCTGATGTGGAAGACTATTTGATGTTTCCAATTCCAAGAAATATTATATTTCAACTCATAGAATCTGCTTCTAAGGATACATTTGAAGAAGTAAGTACAAAGAAGAATGCCCAAAAATGATGATTTAGCTCCTAGTGAACAAGTAATCTGTTAAGGTGCATATCATTAGACTCCAAAGTGGAAGAACAAGAAGAAACACCATGTTCCTATTACTCAAGATCTTTCCTCAAGAGACAACTCTATGAAAATCACACACAAGGAAGGATTTGATATACAATTGGCAAATATGTTGATTTCATCCTCCCACATACATTTTACACAACTAAACAATTGATGAAGGTTATACACAAAGTTGAAGGCTTTCTATTATTCACCATTTCAAAAATTGCTAATGAGTTTTCTCTAATTGGAGGAGATTGATGCTCAAGTGATATCTAAATAAATTCAAATTTGTAATTATATAAAATATAAAACTTTTACACTATTAAGAGTCTATCATTATAGCTTTAGTAACTTTAAAATTTATTACTGTTAGGATTTAATTTAATTTTAATCTTAATACATATCAATTAGATTTAGAAATGATTACAGGTTGGTTAGCCACTAACCCATCCCAACTTAATCCGAATAGACAATGTAAAAATTTATAATTACCGAAGTATGAGACAATTGTTAATAGAAAGTTATTAGCTTAGAATAGATACGAGATGAGTATAAATTAGTGATATACTCATCCTACTTTGCTATATATATGATTAATAAATACTTAATATTGTAAATTTATTATTAAGTAGTTTATATTTAAATATTATTTCAAAGTATATTTTATTTTCATTAACATTTAAAATTAATAATTAAGTTTTCATTTGAAATTAAAAAGATACTAAGTGAAGTGAGCAAAAAGTTTTGCTCGATGGACGATTATGAGTTTATGTATTTACTAGCGGGACAGTATATACTCATGTATACCTGCTTTGTATCCATTTTTAAAGAGATATAGTACATATTTTTTTAAAAAAATTGTATATACAAATAGTTCATGATCTTCATGTCTGAAAGTATCTTTTGTGCATTGCACGTTAAATGATTTTCAAAAATTATATTTCGAAAATAGTTTCTCACTTTTTACACATACATATTTCAAAAGTAATTCATATTACAACACTAAAATCTCTCTTTTTAATTATGAATGGTCCTTTGAGTAAATGCTTTTCTACAAAAATAAATATAAATAGTAAGTAAAGTAAAAGGTTATAAGTTCTAAGAATTTATTATTATTATTATTATTATTATTAAATATCTTATAATTGAATATATTGTAGATAGTGTAGATACATTACTGATCACAAGTTTTGTCACGGATCATGCTCCATTTTATAGGCAATGATCGAATTCTATTTACTTAAATTATATAAACTTAAGTTAATTAAAATAACTTAATTTTATTAATTATAATAGAGTCACAAAAGTGTTAAATCCCTTAAATGTAAAACATAAACAAATGTACGAGACTCTAAATTTTATTTCTTGTATTACAACACAAAAGTACGAAATAATAACTTTAATCTTAAGAGTTTAGCTTCAAAAACTTTTCTTCATATCATCACTCACTTTGCAACGATATTTTCATTATCTGAAGGGTGATAAGGAGGATGAGATAAAATATCTCAATATGCAATATTAAGAAATCACGACATAGTACATATAATATATATTTTTTTTACACACAACAAAACATATATGATATACTTTTTGCAAAAATAGATATACGAATCAGAAAACAAATGTACAAATCAGAAAACATATTCACAATTGCATTATTGTATTCTTCATCACTATTATGGAGGATCATCAGTTACCATACATTATGCTTAGGTACACATATTTATCACTGGTTCTCCATATACTCGAACACAAAATGACATATATAAGTACCTTAAAACACTGCTACCCCCCAAACATGGAATGGTTAGGGCACACAGATCACACTGTTTCCCTATACACCTAAACACGGAACAATTATGTATGGGCACACACTTATCATTTTTCTAATACACTCGAACACTGAACAGTCATGTATGACCACATTGAAATCTAGTATAATGCAGGTGCTTTCAGAATAATTTTTTTCTATTATGAATGATACACACATATCAAAACAAATTCATAGTTGCTTCGTTGTATACTTCTTCCCTATTATAGAGGATCAACCAGTTACCATACATTATGCGTAGGTACACATACTTATCACTAATTTCTTATGTACTTAAATACAGAACGACATATATGAGTACCTTGAAATATTGCTACCTCGCCGAACACAGAACGGTTAGGACATGCAGATTAGACTGTTTCCGCATATACCAGAACAAGTAACAATTATGTATGGGTGCATACTTATCACTTCACCAATTCACCCGAATGCGAAATGGTGTGTATGACCACATTAAAACCTAGCATAACGCATGTACTCTAAAAAAAAAGAGCGAAGAAAATTCTAGTGTTTTTATTAATATATACTACCCTTTACAATAGCACTTGACTCAGTATATATAGGCCAAAGAAAATAAAGCTGTTGCAAAAAAAATAACAAGGCTTATACAAGGGATAAAGGAAAGGAGCTTCAAAAAATAAACTCCAAGAAATTAGCAGAATAATCTTCCATAATTTAGTCAATTGAATAATCATTTTTTATTAGAATAATCTTCAATTATTTAGTCAACTGAATAATATTTATTTTTTAGATTACCATCTTGAGCTGAAATTGTTCCACTTTCACATCTATTATCTCCTAATATATCTCAACTAATAAAGTTGTTGTTGTGAGTAAATTCATCCTTATGACTCCATAATTCATAAGACACCTTATCACTCAATTTACTCATATCTTTGTTGCTGGTACATGTCTCTACTGTGTTAATATCCCCTCCCAAACTGAGCCAAGTTTAGAGGCAAAGTTTGTTGTAAAAAGGAATAAAGGACAACCTTTGAAAAGGTTTAGTAAAGATGTCAACAAGTTATTTATCAGTGAAAACATGTTGGGTGACCAAAAGTCCAAGTGCAATGAATTCACTCACAAAATGATAGTCTAACTCGACATGTTTACTCTGATCATGAAACACAGAGTTATCTGTTATGTACAGAGCATTAAGATTGTCACAGTGGAGCGTAGGTAGAGAAGCAAGTGTAATACGAAGATTCTTAAGAATGTAAGTCAACTAAGTAATCTTTGCAGCAGTGTTAGTCATGGCAAGATACTTGGCTTTGGTACTGGAGCGTGAGATCATATGCTACTTCTTAGCGTACCACGAAATCATATTAGTTCCAAAAAAAGGTGCACTAGTCAGTATTAGAATGCCTCGTGGTGGGACACCCAATTCAATCAGCATATGAAAAAGCACAAAGATTGAGAGTATTATGTGAAGAAAGATGTAAACTAATGTTGATCATGCCTTTCACATATCAAAGTATATGTTGAACCATCTTTAAATGAGCAAGTGTAGGGGCATGCATGAATTGTGAAACATAGTTAACATTGTAAAAGAGGTCTGGTTGAGTGAGTGTAAGATATTGAAGTGCATCGACAATGCTTCGATAGTGGCGGGGGTCATCAAGGAGAATGTCATTTGATGGTGGTTTAAATTTTGTTTCTAGTGGTGTACTCATAGGCTTACAATCAACCATGTTGGATTGTTCAAGGATAGTGAGAGCATAGTGAGATTGGGACAAATGAAGTCCAGTGGATGTTTGTGCAATTTCAATGCCAAAAAAATAATGAAATGCTCCTAAATCTTTCATAGAAAATTTATTGCTTAAGAGTTGAATAAACATGGTAACAAGCTCAAGGGTTGATCCTGTAAGAAGTATGTCATCTACGTAAAGAAGCAAAATAAGTGAACCATGATTAGAATGAAAAATAAATAAAAATGGATTAGCCAGGCTATAAGAAAAACCATACTTAAGGAAAAAACTATTGAATCTATCGAACCAAGCACGAGGTGCCTGTTTGAGTCTATATAGAGAACGTTGAAGCTTGCACATATAATTTGGGTATTGAAAGTCTACCATACCAGGTGGTTATTGCATTTATATGTCTTCAGAGATATTACCATGCAAAAATTCATTCTTGATATCTAGTTGTCAGATTGGTTAATGTTTCATAACTGCAATAGACAATATCATACGAATGGTATCTAGTTTTATAATTGGAGATAATGTTTCAGTGTAATCTATGC